GTAATTTATACCTTGGGGTTTTGAAATACAAGGTTCCCTTCGTTATTGATTGCGATGGGTCATCTGAAGAAGGAAAAGCGTTTTGGCAAGTTTTATACGTCATTTTTAGAACTTGGAACGTGAACTGAAGCCAGTCGAAGATAAGATGCAGATTCTGAAGAGTCTTGGGAAAGAAGTAAGTGAAGCGTACCCTGTTCAAGCGAATTCGATTCGCGCAGAACTCGGTTCACTGTCCAACATGTGGGAGGACCTGAAGCAGAAGGTGACTGACCGAAGGACGCAACTGGAGGACAAGCAAGGACTCCAGGTGTTCCAGAACGCGGCTAACGATTTGGTTGGTTTCTATCAGTAGTTTATGTTTTATGGTTTAGTTTCGTTTTTTCTAGACAAGCTGGGTTAATAAAGTCCAGTTGTCGCTTAGAGAACTTCAGGATCCGGTTGACGTTACCCAGGCGGAGGCGTTACTGGAGAAACACGCTGAATTGTACGACGACATAAAGGCGCATGATGACGAGTGAGGAACACTGTGCCGCTGATATGGAGCTTTGTTACCTTGTACCAACAATTGATTTTTAGATTCGCTTATGTCAATAATTTGGGCATGCGATTGTTGCGCCTTCGCAGAAACGACAGTGAAGTTCAAAAGACTATGCAAATGCTTGCCGCTGACCAGAACGACGTTAAGCAGATGTGGCAGTCAAAGCAACGCCACTTAGAAGAGATGCTCGACCTTCAGTTGTTTATGCGCGAGGCGGACCGCATAGACGCGGCAACAAAAGGCTACCAGGCGTTTCTGGACATAAAAGATGTTGGGGTGATGGATGTTTTTGCTCATACTTTTGAGACCATGAAATGACGATTTTGGTAAATTACAGGACTCAGTAGAAGCTGTCGAGGACCTAATGAAACAGCGAGCTGAATTTGACGACAAACTTTGTGCGCAGGATGACCGCGTGCGCAACTTCAATGATGTCGCTACGGCCCTCGCCAAAAAAGGCGTCACAAATGCGGAATTGTAAGTCCTTCTTGAGCTGTTGCCTTCCTTCAACCTTTGTCGCTTTTGTGTAGCATCGATAAACGTCGTGCAGAGGTGATGAGAAACCGAGAAGCGGCGAAACTGAAGTCAAAGACACGCGAGGAGGAGCTGAGGAATGCGCTTCTTTTCCATCAATTCAAACTGAATGCCGATGAGGTGCGTTGCAAATTTCCCTTTGAATTTTGTCGACTTTAAATTACGGTGTTTGTGATCGTTTAACGAAGATACGGCCTCTTGGTGGCTGCTGATCAGTTTTGCATGCACAGAGTAACTCTGAATATAGCTTCAGTTTTTGCTAAGATCGCCTTGTCGGCAGTAGCTATTTGCAATTTGAGACCAGAGGAAAAAAGTTTTCATTGTGATTCCATGAAGAATCAGCTATGACCTCGGATCATTTACATTTTTTCATACGTAATTTGTTTCCAAAATATTCTCCAAAAACGATGATCGCTTGCACATCTAGTATTGGAATCGCTTAAATGAAATGACAGATCTTGGTCATCACTGAGCGTTAGGCGAAATTTCCTAGTCTTTTAATTTCAGTCCTTCGTGAGTTAATGATGAAGTTTAGTTTTCTGCATGGATGGACGACAAGTTTCGGGTTGTTTCGGACGAGTCATACAAAGACGGTTTGAACTTGGAACGGAAACTGAAGAAGCATGAGGCTTTCGAGGCGGAACTGGAGGCAAACGCTGATCGTATCAAACGTTTGAACAGGGTACACGTTTTGAGTAAATTTCCTACCATTTGATTTACTGCCCATTTTAGGATGGTGAAGAGCTTGTGAAGATGAAGCACGCGCGGTCAAAAGACGTACAATCGATTATCGACCAGTTGAACAAACGGTGGGATCAATTGAGAACGAAATGTGGCCAGCGAGGCAAGGGAATACGCGAGGCCCACGATCAACGGTCGTTTAACCGCGGAGTCGACGTTATCACCCTCAAGCTGGACGATCTGTTGAAGGACGTATCGTCAGAGGAGGTCGGCAACGATCTGCGCAGCGTCGATTTGCTGCTGCAAAGGCACAACGTTCGTTCAAAAGTTCCTGGGTGTAATTTACGCGGTGCTGATTTGCTGTGTTTTCAGCTGGTTGAGGAGGATCTACGAAGCTATAGGCAAAAATTTGACGACATCGTCAG